CTACCTAGTTCTTTCTTTAAGACTTATAATCTTCTTTTTTTAAAACTCCTTCTGTAATATTTAATTCTTAATTCTTTTTGTACTCTTTAGTATAATAGCTAAGCTTTCTGCATATTAGGTATAATCCTTTTTTATATTACTTTATCTATTATTCTTTAGAGATTCTTTACTTGCTTTTTCTGTCTTAACTCTTCTTAAGTAGTCCTAGTCTTTTCCCTTTCTTAGTTATATTCAGGTCTATTAGTATACTTTGTCTTGTAAGGTAATACCCTAGGGTTCTATGTTTTAGACGTTGTATATTAACTTTGTATTATACTAGAAATGTGATGTAGTTTTTCTTCTGGCCTTTCTTAAGTTGTTTTTCGTAATTCTAGTTGTCTATTTTGATTACTATTTTAATTAGTAGTAATAATTTACTTAGCTAATTAATCTTTAATAAGTTATCTTTTACTAAATCTTTTAGTCCTTTATAAAAGATAGCTATTAGTATAGCATCCTCTTAATTAACTTATAAGGTAATCTAATAAAACTTAGAAGTGTAGTCTGTAGCAAATCTCTTTTACCTTATATGTAATAGGTCTTATTTAGCTTCCTTAACTATGTCTATATCTTTATATACTTATTTAATCTTAATTATAAAATTAGTAAAGCTATAGAAGATCTATTATGTATCTAGTTCCTAATCCTTTATTACTTCTTTAAGCTTATCCTTAAGGTAAGATTCAAACTAATTATATATAGCTTCTTAAAGAAAAGTAGCTATATATAAGACTTTTTTTTGTCTATATCTATTACTTATACATAAAATAAGAAGTTAATCCTTAGTTAGTTTAAAAACTCTTAAAGTTTCTTTTGTTCTCTATAAAAGAGATCTAGTAGTGCAACCTTAAATTATATATTTCTTCCCTGACTTTTAATAGTAGCGGTTAGTCTTAAGATAACTAATATACATATATATAGTATTTGTTTAACTATACTTAGTATTCTAAAGAATAATAGTTAAAATATTAAGGCTTAACTAGCTAAGATAAGTCTTAACTAGAAGTTAAGTCTAAAGAATTAGTTAGGTAGAACAAGGGGTGCAGTAACACATACAAGTATGTCTTAAACTTAAGTGTAAGTTGATAACATAAGTTGATTACAGAGTAAGAAGAACTATCTGACTATCTGCGAAAGGAGTACGCTTATATAGGTAAGAGATTCGTATGCTCAGTTCTGCTCAGTGGTAAGCAGAGGTAAGCAACCTGCATGTGCTCAGTGGTGCTTAGTAGCGAGCAGAGGTGAGCAACCTTAAGTGTGCTCAGTCTTGGCTGTCTATAAGCAATCATCTGGGTAGTCTTGTCCTAGTGTCCAAGCCTAGTGCCTAGCTCTAGGCTACGTGGCTCGGGCAACCTTCTTATACTGGGAGGCGCTGTAACATATTGTGCATTTTGTACAAAACAAGAAAGAAAACCCTCTAAAAAACGGGATTTAGGGCCAGGAGACTTCTCTATTTCTGAATTTCGATTTAGTTTGAATCAGAATATAGAGATAAAGAGATCAAAAAAACAAAGAAAAAGAGGGAAACAGACAATTTGGTATTATGAGGAATGCTGAAAACACGTCTGTAAAGAGGGAAACTGTTAGAGTCAGGCGCATAAATAGAATTCTAGAAAGAGAAATCAAGAAATATTCTCTAAAAATTTTCTAAAATTAAAAGATATAAGATAGAATTAATTATAAAAGAGAAAGTAAGTAAATATAAAAGTAACTTTTTATTTTAATCTTTTAAGATTTATTATTATTAATATTAAACTAATTTTGGTTTATTCTTATTTAGAATTTAAAGAAGTATTAAATAGCTTTCTACTATTATTATTAAGTTAGTTATAAGCAATTTAAATTCTAATAAAAATAATTATTATAAGTAAATTTCTTATAATTTACTAATTAGTTTAGCTATTATTTTTATATTAGGTTTTTCTAAATGCTTATTTTTAACTCTATATAATATATTATTTATAATATAATATCTTTAATAATAATATAGTTATTCTTAAAATATACTTTATAAATTAGTAATATTTTACTATTTTTTTTGTTTTTAACTAAATAATTAACTTATTAGATAATAATTAATATATTTATATAGAGCTTTTTAAGGGCTATTGCATAATACTATTTATAAATCTCTAGCACTAATAATTAGTCTAATATAGCTAATTTAAGTTTTACTTTTATAATTTACTTTTGGTGTTCTTAACGCTAAGGCTGCAGCTAGGTTTTAAACCCTTTGATATTCTTAACGCTAAGGCTGCAGCACACTCCCATAATTTTGATGTTCCTAATGCCAAGGCTGCAGAAATAACCTCACCGCTAAACGCGGGTACCTCTTAACGCTAAACTTCACAAGGAAGGAGGCCACAACAGGGATGTATTCGGGCTCACAAGGGATATACCTGCAGATAAGCACAACAAACTACGAAATATATCCTCTTCTTTTGTTCTGAGTTCACTAATCACTGTGGCCAGCTATTTAGAGACGCAGGGACTAACGACTATTCAAAAATGGTTGCAACGACAAGAGGCGCCAAGGCAGCAGCAGGATGGCTACAACGCACAGGACTCCTCCCACAATTCAACCTCGGCCTTAACTAACACTAACAGCCAAGGCCACACAGCTTACCACCCGGAAAAGATAGGAAGGTGGGATGTCTCTTCGTAACCCTGTGTAACAGGACACGACTACCCGGTACAACGCGAACAAGTGAAACAGATGGCTTATAGGTTTTCTTCCCTAGAGTGTTTCTCTTATAGATTGCTATTAGTACCTCCCCTCATGAGCTCAATGGCTCGATAGGTGTAAGAATAATAATAATAATAATAATCTTATTATCTTTAAACTCATTTATTTAGATAAATTACTTAAATTTTTATAGTGTTTGGTTCTTCTTTTTCTACTTGTGAGGATACAGCTGTTGAATCTTGATTAGTTCGAATCTCCTAGGGGAGATGGTCTCCTCGTTCTTATCACCTCGATTCTTGTACGTTTTGTTGAATACTCTCATGACCATCCCCCACGTCTGATACTCTATCAATATCTCGTATTCTGCATTACTTAGTCGCATTATCATCTTGTCACTTCCGCGAGTCTCATTTACTGAGATCAGTTCCAACACTGTTACCCCCACTGGGATGAGCCCTGTATCATGTGGGGGCAGAAGAGGCGCTCGCCTTCGATCCTACGGTATGGATAAGCAGAATAATGCCTCATCCGTAAGACCTAGAGCTGGCGTACGAAACGGCCGGGATGGGATTTGCCGCAAAGCCACTGAGCTCTTTTGCCTCGAGAAATTGGACGATGATTCCGGTCCAGATACAGCTGGTCCCTTGGTCATGGGGAGCTGAAGACTTCACCGGGTATACCCTTCGGGTCGTTGGCGCCAAGGCCCAATGTGGCGCATCGTCGATCTTACCGTCAGTGGCGTTTCTCGGTTGTCAGTGTGAATGTCCCAGGAGTTGGTGGCGTTCCAAAAACCTGCTAGGGGCTTATCTACCCTTGGCCCTATTTGTATCTCGAGGGTGGTCCCGGCCACTCGTGCCATTGAGGGCCCCAATCTTCCTCAGACAGAAGCATCCCAGAGACGTTCTGGGCCCTCTGTTACGAGCTCGCCGCCCCCACTACTACGTATATGAGTGTCTGCCTGTTTTGTCAAGGCAACAGTCACGTGAAAGTAGATGACGTCCAACAATTAGTTTCATGTACCTCATATTAAGCGGAGTCCGTTTGCTTCTTGTATGTGCTTTCTTTAGTGAGCTTTCTGCAAATTTTTCTCTGCTGTTCACAGGGGTTAGAGACTACAGCTTTCTGCGGGTTCTCAATCTTCCACATTTTCCTTTGTCAACATCAGTTCAGCCCTGATGCCAGCCTACGCAAGTCTTGTCCTGACATTTTCATTCATCCTCATCACCCAAATCTCCTTCACGTCTGCAGATTGGGACAACCAATTATTAGAGAAGTTCTTCCCAGGGTACAACGATGGCTTCCAACGTATCCTCCGCGAAAATTGCTCGGAGCAGTACGCCGACTATCTCGTCAACAAGGATAACTCTATAAAAGTCGACTCTATACTACGCGGTTTTGGCCTGGACAGGCCACACTCTCCAGTTGTGGAATGCATTCTGAACGCGGCTCCCGAGTTTGTCAAGTCCAAGATGGCCAGCGCTCAAGTCTTACTCGGTCTAACGCCAACAATTCTCGCGACCCTAGGATCCAGCCCATTGGAGACGGCAATGCTTGCTATTGTGGCCCGGCGTCCTCTTCTTGCGCTGTTTCTAGCCGCTGGATCTCCCAGCGTGTTCGCTTTTCGCTCTTTTGAATACACTAAAGCGATTGAGGATCTTCCTGAAAGACACATCGATAGACCGCGTTTTCTGCTCCGAGCACACAAGGTGGTTGCGATTTTGCAATACCTTCTCGCAGCTGCATCCATCGCCAACGTCGGTGAACTTGCCTACCGACTTGGAGCGCTGGTCATTGTTACCATCACGCCTAGTAAGGAGTACATTGTTGCTCTTTGGGCATTTCTTGGTATGATTATCCATGTTCTAGGAGTCCTTACTCTTCGTCTTCGTATCGAGATGACATCAAAGACGACAGAAAACGGAAACGCCCACCGTCATCCGCACACATTAAACCTTGTTACAAGTCAATCCGAACTATTGGCGCGACAAGAGGCTATTCGGATGACCATACTCCCAGAATCTTGGAAGTTCTTCCTCGCTTCGTGGGTCACGTCCACCTTTACTGCTTGCCACATCATTTTTGGCACGCTAGTATTTTCTACCATGCTGTTCATCTCGGTAACGGACAGCTTGATCGTGATAGCTCGCTTGATGGCTTCTGTTATTGCATGCCGAATCATTCTGAACTCCGAGCTTACCACCCTTCCAAAGGCCATTGAAGTAGAAAATAGAGGCAGAAGCTAAGAAGCGGACGTTCTCGATCTTGGAAGAAGGTAGAGGATGGAGGTCATAAATGAATGTTAAACTACTCGTAACAGTCAATCCTTGCTTTCAATAGAGCAGCCCACCCGGACGTAAAATGAGCCGGAATCCACCGCATAGTCTAGTCTCTCTCATTACACTCATAAAAGGAAAAATCCACCGCCTGGTCGGAGCGGGTCGGCCGCCCTCCTTACTAGCGGGGGGTAAAATGCATCAAGCTTACGGCGTTTCCACTCAAACTCTAGGACGAAAGAGGCGATTCCTGGTAGAATACTTCCACTCCCGAATGCGGACCCCACCCTAGCGCTATGGTTCGCCTTCCGGAAGAGATGCTAGTGCCCGCTGGATACAGGAGTCGATGTCGTTATTGTTTTTTTGGCGTTGTGGTGGAAGATAATTGCGTACAAAAATCTTGTGGTGGTGTTAGCCAAGTGCATGTTATCGTTTGAACAGCAATCTCGATTAAGATGTTGGCGCTAGACCGTAGTCTAGCGTCCGACTTTGGGAGGATGAAGTAAGCGTCAGCGCACGAGCTAGGGGCGCGGATAGCACGTCTGAGCCCAGCTGCCACCAACAAAGTCGGATGGCCCCAAGACCCCCCCCCGCGCGGCAGAAGGCGGCGACTCTTACTCTTCGCGGTGCGGCAGATACTGGCGGCCGGCGCGGCAATCAATACTGGCGGCCGGCGCGGCCATCAGGCAGGACCCACCAGAGACATCAGACATCGCGTGCGGCCTCATCCTCGTCCAAGAGATTCTCAGCCGAGAATAATGAGCTTCCTCCGTGGCCCAGCCACTAAAAAATCCGGGGTATAAACCCGGGTCTTCAGCTCTACACGGTAGGCCACGTTATCGACCCATTCGATGAGCATTATCGTGAGGTACTTGCCTCCAAAGTGCTGCACTACGATCCAGTCGCGCTGCCTGAACTCTGTGGTAGGACTATCTCTCCGAGGCAGGGGGTTGGCGGACCCGGAGGAGTGCATTCCTCCCGTTGCATGGTCGTTTGGCACCCCGTAACCAAAGTTGTAGTCGTTGCCTAAGGGATCCGCCTCTATGGCCATGGCATAGAATACTAGTAGTTGATCCAGCCGGTCAACGAGGAGGGGACTGTCCAGGCCTAGCTTCTCAGCGACGGCTTGCCAGGGTGGACGACTGACTCGCCGAGACGGACCCCGAGTCGGAGGACCATAATGATTTCGGTTGTCCGAAAAGCACCTGCGATGTGGTCTTCCTCGTCACCGAGCCAGGATTTGTTGATGATGCAAACGTCGACGTCTTCGTCCGCCAGAGAAAGCGGTGGCTCTCCTCTCGTGCGGCGCACTCGTCGCCGCGCGATCAGCTGGTAGAATGGGATCCTGCCTCCCCGCACATCCACGCGCTTGCTGATGTCCGACATGAACTCGAGCCCGTTGGGGCCCTTCCACCCTGCCCACGACCAGCTTGGGAAGTCTTCACGACGCCTGGACTGACCAGTAAAGGCCCACGTGAGCGCGGCGTTGAAGCCCCTCTTCGGCAAGCCCCAGAAGAACTCGCCCACCGACGGTTCCATTGCCTTCTCGATGCCTTGGAACGCCAGGAGTACATCCTTGTCGTGGGTGAAGTTTCTGGTGGTGTAGATCTGCACGAGCTTCTGGTATACGTCCAGCGTCTTTTGCGCCGGCTCTTGGCTTTTGCTTCTTGGGGTGGGGTAGTGCAAGCCTCGCACGTCTCCCGACTCCCAGATCTGTGCCTTTTCTCTAGCTGTCTCTTTGAAGAGATCCGCCTCAAAGCGGTCCTCCCTCCAAAGCATGGATGGGCAGCGGAAGAAGCTAAAGTACTCTGTGACCACTAGCAGGCGCTTCGACAGGATCTTCTCCTGGAATGTCCAGCCTCTAGTATCCCATTTAGAGTGAGATGAGACGGGTCCCCAGGCATCCGCGATCGTTACAGCGACTTGCAGGTTCTTCCCAATCTCGACGGATGGGAGCGGGACTCTACATGGTGCATCAGATCGGACGCCGGATATGGGATCGTCTGCGGAACTTGCAGCGGCGTTGACGATGGTCAAGATGGCGCTGGAGAAGATAGCGTCCATGTTTCTAATCTGCAGCTGCTGAAACGATTGCGCCGCCACAGTAGCCCTGAACTCAACACCCGTGCCTGGATTCTCAGGGGGGGGATCCTGGTAGATGCACAGCGCGTCCACCCATAAATACCTCTCCCCCAACATCCGGCAGAGGGCCATCGCATCTTCGATCGTCGCGGGGATTCCGTCGGGCAGGCCGCCTGGACGGGAGAAGGCTTTCTCGTTCGTCGTCTTGAGCAGGACCTGCTTGGCGTTGCCCCAGACGTAGCTCAGGGCGAGGTAGCGGCAACGGCGGGGTGCCTTGACGACGCATCTTGCTTCCACATCGATGACGCGGATGGAGAGGCTGCGGATGTTGGGCCCTCCTAAGGATAATCGACAGCCCCCTTTGTGCCCTCTGAGGCAGCGATCGAGCCATGACCGTATCAGCGGGATATTTTGTCGTCGAGATGAGATTTGCCTGACGAAAAAGGCACTCTCTGGGTCCGATCGGGAGGAGTTGAATCGGGCCATCTGAATCGAGTTGAATATTTCTGGTTGGTGGATGGCGACTTCAAAAAGATCTTTCTCCTTTCTCGCTCTGGCTGCAACTTCCTCTGTTTCCCCCACCGTTGCTCCTGCTTCTTGCACTCCACCTTTCTGTATTCCGCTCGGTTCCTCTTTTCCGTCCTCAGCTTTCGAAGAAGCCGGTCCATTTTCCGACTCCCACAAGACTTCCTGCGGCCACCTTCCGTTATAGGACATGACAAGCTGTCGGCCCAGAGTCCAGCTACTGTACGTCTTGGGATAGCCTTCCTTGAACTTCCCGTTTATCTCAGCCGAGACCAAACTCCAATTCCCCTTGTCTCTGACGTCAGGTCGCCAGAGTGATCGCTGGGAAGTCGGCGCGCTCGGCTTAGGGGACCAGATCCGGCGTATGGGCTGGAGCATCTGGCTGAGCAACCGAGAGGCTGAAGCCGCGTCGAGTGTGTCTGGACCTGAGGGGGGATCCGTGGCCAGAGTGTAGTGCTCGCCCAGGGGAATCAAGCTACCGTCTATTGTGCCGGAAGAGACAGCGTTTTTGGGTTGGTCGAGGTGGAACATCTCAACGAGAAGGCGACACAAGTCGCATCTCTTGGCAGAGTCCTTCACCTTGGCAACGTCCCAATTGACGCTGTATCCCTCGCCGTCAACCCCAAAGTCCAGCCGCTCGTTTGGGGTCGATGGTTTCAGATCGCCTACCACCTTGGTGCATTTCCCGCAAAGATTGCATCGTCCTTCAGCCAAGTTATGGTTATCGAGATCTGAACCTTCGACTTCTTGGGACGCCGCTGAGACTGCGTCGGGACGCGAAATTAGGCGGGCGGTCATGTCAGCAGCAGGGCTGGATGGCAGGGTGTCCAGTTGAATCCAATTAGTCAACTCAATCAAATCAATTGCTTGGCAAATCATTCAAATCTGTGCCTGAGTCAAATCAATTCGGCCTCTACGATTTGTCAAATGAGTCAATTTGTATATGTAGAAGACAATTGAGCCAATTCCGAGCCAAATTGATCAGCAATTGATGGAGAAATCGATATAAACGATATAGCTATTGACAAGGGATAAGCTGCTGTGCTTGGTAGTGATATAAACGAAGGCGTCACAAGATGCGCAACAACGATCACACAGGCACGTGACAGGTTTGACTATATTGTATAGCCAAATCCTCAGAGCGTTATGTTACAGCAAGAGGGTGAGCAGCAGAAGCGGAGGCAGTACGGCCTAAGCAGAGGCTGAGCCGAAGTTGAGCCGGGTGACTAATTCCTGAGGCAGACAGCAAAATGGCCAACCCAACTAGGTGCCACGATAGTGGATCAATAATAGTGTCTGTCCCATTCTTTATGTCCGGATCTCGTGGGCGGCGGAGTGAGAGACAGCGTCATGGTGTGAAGAATCACCACCGTCGGCGCGGGCAGAGGTAGAGGCAAAGACCTTATGCTTTCAAGTATTCAAGAATGTCCATCGCAAAGTAAGAGCTGGCAATGATGTGTGATTATTTCTCTCGTTCCTGCAGCACCTTCCCTCTGTGATAGATAATCTTTCCTCTTAGGATCCCAGCCGGACAATGGAAGAGACAGTGAAGGTGCTCACAGCCTAAGGCAATTGAGGAATACTCGCCTATAGATCTGTTAGCGGTTTGTCCTTCGCAGATGCATGATGGTCCGACCGCGCAGGCAACATTTTCAAGGATTTCCCCCACCCTGTTGGTTTGAGAGTCGCTGCACTCGCCTACATGCAGTATTAGGGTCTGCTCGGGGCTGTGACAGATCATTTACCCTGCTTCGCATGGTGCGCAGAAGCTCTTGCGGCTTGGGTTCCTTAGCAATAGCGCGGTCAAAAATGTCAAAGATGAAGTCGTGGAGCTCTCTCACACATGTCATGAAAGCGATGACATTTCGAAGCCGTGGACCAGTGTTCTGGATATGATTCACTCCTTTTCTTTAACCATATCGTCCAAAGATGGTTCCTCTCATCGCACTTCTCATCTGCGAGCTAGCCACAGAGTCGAATTTGGCTTTCTGCAAGGGTCATTGGCGCCCTTGTCGTGGCGTACTTCAGCTTGTCGAAAATCTTCCCATTTTGCCGCTTCTATATCCCTCCTCTCCTGTCAGCTCGACTTGTGTTGACTGATGCGTTTCCGCCTTTCGTGGGACAGAGTCGGAGCCTTTGCTGGAGCTATAAATCGGCCTAGTAGTCCATTTCATATTTCTGTGCCACTCTATCATGACGCCGTTGATCTGCGCAGCATGCAGACTCCTCTCCTCGTCCTCTTCACCCTTCTGTTGTGGCCCACCGTTGTCAACATCAACGGACCTTGTTGTCGATGCTAGCCCTTCACGATGTTCTCGAAGCTTCGCAAACAAAGAAGGCATGTCCGCCTGCATCTTCTCATCCTGCACCAAGTCCACGGAGAAATGGTCTTCTTTCGCAGAGGTTTTAGCTCGCATTAATGCTCCACGATCTCTGTAGAGCAGCAACCCCGCTGCTCTTAATCCACCAAGAAATTTTGCACCATTTCCAAGCTTACCATTGACAGACTCTGTATTTCTTCGCGGGAGAGGCCTTGTGTCAGCTTCGTTCTAGACCAAAATTTCTTGGCGGACATAGTGCATATCTTGATTGTGAGCCAGCGTTGTGATGAATTTGTACCACTGACACAAGCGCCCTTACTACCAACTGCTGCAGTGACTGGTCCAGTTCCCTACATAGCGGTAGGTGGACACACTAGAACTAATACACCAGGATATGATAGACCTCAGGGATATATCACCAAGGTTGGTGAGGGGAGGCATCAAAGTGTGTCGAACACTTGAACGATCCTCTAGCAGATGATCAAGAATCCACTGAACTTTCGGTACGGCATCGTCGTTGTCATCGAGGTCGGTCTGATGCTAGGTCAACTTCTCACACAGAGGCGCGCACTCAGTCAACTAGTCGCCAGAGGGCCACCGTCTGAAGACTGGAGTATGAGCTCGAAGGAGAGCGTAAAATGAATCGCTCGAGATGCCGATAGCAAAGAATGAGAGACGCGTACTATAGCAGTCTAGAAAAGCAAATAGCTACACAAGAATGAGAAGAGGAGACGAGAAGAGAAGACTCGCGAAATGCAACGCGAACAGGCAGAGTGTGATGAAAGGGAGAGGAAGAGGAGAGAGAAAGAGAAAGAGAAACAGCGACGTGGGGAGTGCATCTTTTCTTACATGTATACGTCAGATGAAATGATGCGCTGTGCTGCTCCTCGAGATGGGAGGACAACCCAGTTGTCTAGCAGCAGCCATAATGCAGCAGCAGTTCATTTTGCTGCCTTCGATGTTGATATCCTTGGACGTAGAGATCCGAAGCCTGCCATACCAGAATGGCGAAGGTGAAGCAGTCGGAGGAGCATATAATGCATATAGAGCAAGTGGAAGAAGATTCGGCAGCCTACCTTAGCTGGGCAATATCATGGCTTACTATAGCGTTCCCTGGGTTTGAATTGTCGGACGCTCCGCTCGATGTCGGAGGAGGGTTCTTGGGCAACCTAGCCTGGGTGGGGGACAAGGAGCTCTGCAAGAGATTCCTACCTTCACGTGGTGTAGCGTCAGTACTCAATACAGCCTATGGATCTGATCGAGAAAGCTAAGAGGAACGGAAAGAAATTGTTTGAAGCTGGTCCACTTGGAGACGCAAAATGCTGGCCAGAGCACAGGTTCGCGCGTAGTAGGGATGCTGCTTGCGCAATGGGCAAGGAAGAAAAAGCTTTGGGTTCACCATCCAACCAAGCTATGTGTATAGGCTATATGGTTAGGGTAAGGCTTGGGTCCTAGGAAGACATCAGTTCCAGGTGGTAATTAAATGATACAAGTGTGAAAAATTCAGAAAGCTCACCATCGCTTTCAAGTGAAGAAACCAGTGGAGTACCAAAACTATGAAACAATCATATCGAAATAAGCAAAGGTAAAGCGGCCTATGCCCAGATGTATGCGAACCCATACCATGACTTCAAAACCACCCCCCTGTCTCTAGGTCCACTTCTCAGGATCTAAGTGCACATGCTCGAAGTTGGGAAGTGAGATTTTCGAGGCAGAGCAGCTCCCAGACCCACTGCGAGCACTGGGCAGCCACCTGCCGGGTTGTGTCCAAAGAGACAGATCTCGTCCACTTCGCCCGCACACTTTTATTGATATTTTGCACATTCTGCCAAATCGACCATTGAGTGCTATAACCAGCATGCTCTGTTTCTTGGGAAGGTGATTGCACTTCAAATTGTTGGGTAGGAAACCCGACGCGTTGCTGATCCTCTGCGGATCTGAAATGGGTGGACAGGTCTTCTTGATAGGCTCGATTGGGATGTTCAAGTTCATGAATAGGCTGAGGCGGGTGACACTCGTGGTCGATAGTTTTTGCCTTCGGCTCACTCAACTCTCGCAATTCTCGAGTGAGATTTTTGATAGTTCTTCTGAAAGATTTGTTCTTAGCCTGCAATGAAGCCATCTTCTGCCTCATCGCGTGAAGCTTCTTCATGCATCGATGTTTTAGGAGGGTCTGAGCCTCAAGCTCCTGCATGCGAATGGCCAGTTCTCCCTTCACATCCTCGAATTTGTCGCTCAATCGACTCAAGGTCTCGTATGAACAGGTCTCGTTCAATCCTGGAGAATAATTAGCCGATCGCACATCGTCCATCCGCTCCTCAATCTTGTGTTCGGGGTAGCAATCATCAGGAGGACAGTCAGAAGTTGGTGATGTACGCTCAGGTGAATAAATGTGGCCGTTCCTGTGGAGATAAAATTCACGGCGGTGACAGAGGGATACAGGGCTACCGTGAACGGTCGCTGTAGAACTCGGAGAGTTGCGTTCATCGAAAGGGGTTTGCCGGAATTTGTGATAACTTTTGGGTCGTAGTTGACATCCACAAAGGAGCACTCTTCTTGCCTTACGAAGAAGCCTCAAGAGCAGCTTTCCGACCATGGCTGCGCTTCACTCGATGTTATGGTAGTGGTTGTAGAGTGTATCTTTGCAGGTAATGCTGAAACCGGGCTGTATCAAGTCCTGGTAAAGATTGCATTGGCCGGCAAAGCAGAGTGAAGCAGCTGTGATCTGCTGCGATGCCATCTTTCGACCTCATGGAGGTTTTTTGTATTCGCGTACGTGTCGAAGGTGTTGTGATGAAATGAGACATGAATCTGCTCTGATAAAAGAATTCTCTCCATCAGAAGCAAGAGGAATCCTCATGAGCAGGCACGATGTGTTTGCTATCTGGCTGGATGCGGATAGACTGTTTGCGCACATGCACTCGCCTTTGACAGCTCGCCTAGGTGAAACAACCTACCTGTAAACAGAAAGACGACTTGGCCAGTACTTACTCCTTACCGCAAGCCCGATGCATGGTGAGCATTGTAGCAACAAAGATTCTCAGTCAAGACAGATCCAAGATGTAATCGTCTCAAGACTTTAGAAGGCTCTGGCATACGTATTGGGCCAGGAAAGCACCCAAAATGACCGAAATGCACCTGTAGGTGCTGAATCAGGAGTAGGTGTGGCTTAACTCATGCATGCTTCCCAACAATTGGATCTTGCAAACATTGCAGCAGAATATTGGACCAACCACTTGAAATCTTAGCCTAGGGAAGTAGGCTATTTTGGGTCCTTGTTACTTCGCCTCGTTAAAAATGATTGGAATTATGGTGGCTCTCTCACTCTGCCGTACGACAGCGGAAATAAATTTGAAAGCTGTTTGCCGCCTTGCATAGCTAGATCTGTCTCCACAGAGCACTAATCTGTGGTCTCTGTTTCAGGGGGGTGTGCCAATCAGTCCACTCCTTTCAGCTGTAAAGATGCTAAGACGCCAACATGCGTGTGATGAGCAGGCAGAATCCCAATGATCGTCCAGCAGTGCTTGAAACTCAGGTCACAGGTCAATTGTGACCTGGCATCAGTAGAAATCACTTAATGTGACCACATGCGAGCTTGCATATGATACTCCAGCGCTAAAGCCAACCAGCCAGAACAACCACAGAGTTCTGTAATAAGATGAGTTGGCAATATGTGGATGTACTAGTTCGTAATGTGAAATGACTTTTCCATTACACCTGTGGCGCAAGAGAACAGGAGGATCGGGGTTGCAATGCGTATCGAGCGGGACCCTCCTCAAGATTCCTGTAATCCTACTTCGATTGAATGCATAGGTACTGAAACAGATCTAGCATTGTGCATACGGGAGAAGCAACGGACAGCCCAAGGCACCCATTCTGGAATCAGAAAGCCATCCGAACTACTCGGTTGGGTGAATCAATATCATCCCTGCATAGCATGCAGTGTCCGAGGGCAGTAAGCCAAGAGTGTGGTCTCTAAATCTTATCCCCTAGCGCTTAGGGACAGGGAATGCATGTCTTTTCAGCTAACCCAGAGGCAGATGAGAAACGCCAGCGGTTGCCCACCAGGAGGGAAAGTCTCACAAAGCGCTTGTGGGAAGCCACCGCTTGTAGATTGAAACCAAAAAAACTCAAGATGGCAAAGAAATGACTAGAAAGCAAGAACGAGGGATTTGGGACAAGGCACAACACAAAGGGTGCGAAGTAGGGGCCGGGGTTTTGATCAAAGCAGATCACAGCAGGCTGGCATGACTTGTTAGATCGGTTGCGGGCGCCCGAAATTGCCATATAACTTTTGCCGCCTCGTTGCATAGGCTGTCTTCGAGCCCCTTAGCGTAGGCTACACACATGTTGCTCAAGGTTCTCCACCTCCCTTCCTTGGTGTACCTGATAGAGCACAAACCACATACTTGGCGGGTGCGGTTGCAGGCCTCTCACGGATCTTCGCCTTTCCTGGCAAGAATGTCTCTGCGGGCCCGAAATTTAGATGGATGATGGCTGCATCCTCGAGCTGCATCCTCGATTCGGATGACAACCAGTCAGAGGCTTGGGCCTCGATATCGTTCATGGTTTAGGATGGTGAAGGTCTCATCGAAAAGTTTGAGCTAAACTGAATGAGGTTAAATTGGCTGCATGTGATCAGGCGAGATTTTCGTGTTGGAAGCACGCGATGACGCGGCGGCAAATTTGTGGTTGCCTGATTGGAGGCAGTGTGGCAGCACCTTTCTTCGGATCGGAACTCAGGATAAGGAGGGACAACTTTGCCGGCAGGAAAGCCTGCTTCTTCAACTTGCAGCTTGCATGGTTTAGGATCCGAGCAAATGATTGTTCATAACACATATATTGACGTATGAGATGGGTATCACCGTATAATAGCAACCAAAATAATATGGTGTGGAGATTGAGCTTGACTATGACAGCCTCCAGACTCCCCAGAAACCCACAACAGCATACTCTGCACCCAGTCCACAACGCCGTGCCGTCGATGATTCTACCCAGCCAGTGAACATGAAATTCTTGCAGAAAGAAAAGAACTCCCCATATCTGAATACACCTTAAATCAAGTGTCGTAGTGGATTCCATCATTTCCCAAACCATAGATCACATCCTCCCCTTTATAGTGGCGAGCATCCCTTCAAGCTCCCTGATTTTGTTGGCTTGCTTATAATTTGTGCTGCTGAGCTCACTGATTGTGTTGTCTTTCCGTTCGTTGTCTCTCCTTAATCGCTTGATTTGCTCTGACTGTTCCTCGTCGTCACTCGGCTCCTCAAGAAACTGAAGCTCATGATTGTAGTCTGTTGAGGTAATTCGCTTTCGTTTCCGTGGACGATCCGGAGGTGGTCTGGATGGTGTTGCTGACGCTGTTACAACACTCTGAAGCCCCGGAGAGGTTATTTCCCCTTCTGGGAGATGCCGTCGACGCATGTGCTCCTTCAGGTTTTCTTGTCGAGTGAACGGTTGATGACTACTTCGATTACAGTTCGGAACTGGGCAATACAGGTCGCGTCCCACAGAATTGTTCTTCTTGTGGACTTCCCTTTGGTGACGGAGCAGTCCTCCTGAGTAGGTGAAACCTTGCACCTTGTCGCAACCCGGTTCGAGGCATTTGTACGGTCGATCATGCTTGTCCATATGCTTGCTGTGATAAAATTAGTGCTTGTTTGGCTGACAAATGGGTGATCACACATACTTCCATTCACACGGTCTGCGAAAGATTAGAGCTTCCTTTGCACATTCCGGATGGGCGCAGTAGATTTGGTTATGAGCATTGCGTGGAGGATCACCCCTCTTGATCGAAATGTTCAGACCTTTGCCTCCATCGGAGCTTGGTGTGGTGATGTGATCGGCATTGACAGATCCTGGCATTGACGCTGGGGTTGTGATCGAAGGTTGCCGCCCTCCTTCACTATGCGGACTCGGATAATCATCAGTGCCACCCATATCCTGATTCTGGCCAAAGGCTGGTTGAGGAAATGGACGGTATAACCCCTGAGTACCGACGGGGTCGAACACGGGTACGAAATTCTGTCCTTGAACGGGGGAGACTTCGAAACGAGGAACAGGTGTTCGTGGCGGGTGGATGGGAGGAGGAATTTGCTGATTATACCCAGTCCAGACATTTGATGAGACCTGTTCGATGTTTGCGTACGTGGTCGAAATATCGCCACTTATTGAAGCTGTCCATCTAGAGACGGAATCCCGTGACTCAGTAGGGTTTGAGTAGAGAGGAAGAGGCTGATTATAGAAAGGAGGATGAAGCGACGTGGAGCTCACTCCTTGTTGGGGTTCGTCAACGGTACCATGACTGATGCCTAATGCATGGTTAGCGCCAGGCTTAAGGACTCATCAAGGGTTGCCTCCCCGGGAAATGCTGGTCAGGCCTCTAAGTTGTGACTCACCTTGGTAGAGTTCAAACTGGGGGCGCTGGTAAGGATGATTAGGTGACTGTGGCTGTGCCCCAGCGCTAAGCCGTCGGGAGCTAGGCAGATTCAAGTTCCGACCCATTGCTGCCTGCACCTGCAACGGATGATTCCGTGCTTGTGAATGCGGCCGCGCATTATTTGTGGTCGGCACAATCGAGTGTGTATCGTTTGGCAGTGATACACGTCGGACTGTTATCTTTGTCATTATCATTACCGACATTGGAGACTGAGGCTTTGACGTACCTTGCTCCACCTCTTCATCGTCTGCTGAAAAGTTGCTTGGCAGTGTCCAGTTCCGGCTCCCGTCCACGAGTTGTTGAGCAGCTGGAGATCGAGGCTTATCTTCGTTGCTCTGCTCAGGAGTATAGAACATCCAGCAGACGCCCCAGAGTATGACCAGAGATGGACGTATATTCCATGGCCATGTTGTGCTGAGCGGTCGTTGTCCGGAAGGCCACTCCGTAAACCAATCATCGCCGAGCTTCTTTTGCTGTTGCCAGTATGTTTGCCAGTGTGAAGCGAACTCATCCAGTCGAGTGATGCTCCTATGCACGAGGATCTGGAAGAGAACATATTGGAGTCGACGCAGCAGATGAAGCAAGTTGGCAATGTATGATTCTTCTTTCAGCCTTTTGCAGTCTGGATCGGTGTCTGCCCAGCTCTTAACTTTGCTCAATTGAACTGCTTCGAGCTTTCCAATGAGAAAGGTCGAACTATCAAACATGTAGGCAGCCTGTTGTACTGTGGCATGTTGGGCGAGCGTTTCGATCAGGTTGTCTTGGGCATTACTTAGAAGTAGTTTGTCGTCGGATGCAACTCTTGTCAAGGAGAACGCTGGAAAGTTGCTATGATCGTTCAGGTCGCGAAGCAGTTCATTGATCCATCTGCCATGGTCTTGATGCTTTACCGCTGACCTGGGCTCTTTGGTGACTGTCAGTCGGCATGGAGAAGCAGACCTGATCAAGGTCAGCTACTGAAACGACGATACCAAACAGAATGTGACTACTTCTCAAGGTCCGATAGCGCTCTGAGCCTGATCCCTCTGTAGTATGAGACTCCAAAAGGATTGGGGCTTTTCTTCTTCTGCTGCACCTTCTTCTGCAGACGATGCCTAAACTTCTGCACTACGCTAGCAAGGCGGGAAGCAAGATAGAATGAGGCACGAGGAAAGGGAGCTGCTTCCTCCATATCCATGGGAATGAGTAGAAGAGAGGAATGAATTGATCCAGATGAGTATGTCCATAGAGCCACCCGTCAAGGCATACTGCGGGCTTATGAGCTTTTGAAGAGCGCCCAACGATAAATCCCGACGGCCCCATTTCAGGCTTCCCAGGCTATAACGAAAGCCGCAGAGTGAGAAAATAGGTCGAAGGGTTTCCTCCTGTGCCGCAACAGTACATGCATGAACGATAGGTCAGTGAGCCTGCTTCCACTGATTGGTGCACAGACCAAGAGACTGCCAAAATCATGCATCTGATTGGCGAGTTCCTGATGCCCCCTAGCCACAGGTGCGTATACTACGTAGTAGTCTGCGCGCACCGCCCAGGAAGAAGGCTGTGCTGAGCATCACCCACTAAGTTATCAGCCATCGTAGCGTGAGACAACCTCCAACATCTGAAACCACCAACTCTAGAGGAGCTGCCACTATTCGGAAAGTGCTCAATTTATTGTCCTTCATTTAGTGCTTGTTTAATTACTCTATAGCCTTTTGGCGATGTTGGTCAAGCGCCCCCGCAGCCCCGGCCGTCGGTAGGAACATCCCTTCTGGGCGAGGAGGTCGGTCTATCTAGAATATGCCGTCATGGTATAGGAGTTTGGGCCGAAACGTTTGCAGTTGCGCCTTCTATATCATCTGTTGTCCTTGCATATTGTGTGTATGCGTGGGCAGATTGACGTGCTGCCCAAACCTTTTGAGGCACGATGACGATTTTGAGCGAGAGAGGGAGGAGAGTCACAAAAGGCTTGAGCGTGGCAGAGAAGCAAGAAGAGTCAGACCGTTAGGTCCGGTCCGAAAGCGAGATTTGTCTGTATCATCGACGATCCCGCAAAGTGGGCAGAAAGACTGCCCTCTTTTTAGCCGTCTACCAGCCGAGATCCGGACGATGATATGGCATTACGTTCTTGGAGGCCAAACGTATCACTTGATGCAGGTGCCAAAGCGGGTGGGCCACCATCGCTGCGATGTTGGTTCATCGAGCGATCCCGGTCGATCCTGTTGTCTTCCGGCCATAGCATACTGGAGGCATGAGATTGGAACCACCTCTTATCGTGACTATCTGGATCGTTATCCCGGTGCTCCACTTCCACACGCACCTTCTGTTGAGCTGCTTTCGCTTCCTTCAAGCTCTAATCCGCATGTTCTTGCCTTGTTACGAACCTGTCAAAAAATATATCGTGAAGCAATCAACCTTCCCTACGAATCCAACATGTTCGATATTGACGATCCGGAGACATTGCTCAACCTTCGCCAAACGATCCCTAGGCAGCGTTTGAGGGCAATCAAACATTTGCGGGTCTATCTGGAGACCCAGTACCCGCCATTTTCTGGGCTGCATTCAGCACCTTGGTACGGCAAGTTTGATGGGATCTGGACATTAATGTGGCATATCATCGCCCACGATATGACCGGAATCGAGGTTCTCGAACTTGTTATACAGTCAGGTAGTATATTCCCAGAATGGCCGCGAAAGGATCCGCCATGGTGCGCCAAACTGCAAGATGTGAGGGAGTTGAAATTGTTTCAATTGACTGTCAAAGAAGGGCAGGTGACTTACAGCGAAGATTCAGACGAGGATATGAGAGTACTGACGGAACGTCTCAGACAGTGTATGTACCAGCCAAGATCCACTAAGTCTCTAGAAGAGAACGATGTGGTACATCCCGTTGAAGTGGAAGCGCAAGCGCCATTAACCTAGCTGGATTCGAGGGGATTAGAGAATCGCTCAACTATCTACCTAAAAAGCTAGAATCTAGATATTTGACAATGTGCGACTAGCTGCTTCTGATTCGATCTTTCTTTCTTTCTTTCTCTCTTTCTTACTGGCTTCTTATCTTCTGCTGGGAATGACCGTAGAATAACGGATATCATGGTAGAGGCTGTTTGCTGCCAAGGGAAAGCCCCTGAGCGAAACTTGAAGATACAATGGTCCGTGCCCCAATTAAGGACGCGATGCCGGTCAGCGCGTTCGCAAGGCGCGTGGCGTCATGATATTTCTTGCTTTCAGCGAGCGAGCAATCGATGCTAGTAGCCAGGACACAATACACAATCGTTCTGCTGCAGCGTTACCAAGCAATTCAGTATCTCAAAGCGCAACCTTTGTTACTTCAAGCTGCTGAGGATTACTCTAAGTTAGGATCTGCAGTCGTGATTTGTTGTAAAGGACGCCATTTCTTGATGACCCTTTCTCTTCCACCAATTTCTGGCCGGTGTTCTCCCAAAAACGTACCGAATATGCCCTCTTCACCCGTGTCACCAGCTACTGCTACCTCGCCGAGCGAGACTGTGTCACAGCAAATATCTACTCAAGCATCTTCTCCGACTGAAATCTTTACGGACATGTCGAACCAACCGGATGGAGACCTCAAAGAAGACAATGTGGAGCAGAAGAATGCAGAAGATGAGGATGACATGGAGGACATGGATGGCAAAGCCAAGGCCTTGACAAATCTCCTGAAGACAAGTTCTGTGAGTTGTGCAGTGGCAAGTCAATAAAGATGACCTACTGCTAACACCATCGCAAAGGTCTTCGTTGCGATTATGGCAGATAAAATGAAGGAACAACAGCGCCAGCAGCGAGAACAAGCCCAAAGAGAAGCAACAAAAGCACGCACCACGAAAGGGAAGCAAGAGGTTGCGAAAGTAGAGCCACGAAGGTCAACGCGAGCTCATGACGATGGGAAGGACAGCCATCAGTCTAGAGCCAAGCAGAAAGAAGATCGCGGATCCGAGCCAAAGCCAGCATCTACACGTGGCAGAGGACGACCCCAGAAGAACGCGAAAGCAAACAAACATGGTGTAGGCATTGCACAATTCTTCAACAAGGACGACATTCCAGTGGAAGAAGATGGTCCTACAGTTCAGGAAGCATTGGCGCAAGCAGCGGACGAATACGATGCCAAACCTGAAGGCCTCGGGGCCCAAGAGTTGGTAGCGACTCAACAACCAGAACTGGTCACGGGAGGCCAAATGCGGGAATACCAGCTGGAAGGCTTAGAATGGCTGAAGTCACTATGGATGAACGGACTTTGTGGCATTCTTGCCGACGAGATGGGACTTGGCAAGACCATTCAAGCTATATCACTGATCGCTTTCTTCAAAGAGAAGAATATCTCGGGACCATTCCTAATCGCAGCGCCGCTCAGTACAGTCAACAACTGGATCGACGAGTTCACTCGCTGGACGCCAGCAATTAACACCGTTCTGTATCATGGCTCGAAGGAAGATCGTGCTGACATACGTCGGAAGAAAATGAAGATGCAAGACCAAAAGAAGTTCGAGTTTCCGGTGGTTGTGACAAGCTACGAGATTTGTATGAATGATCGCAAATATCTAGCCAATTACCAATGGCGATACATCATAGTGGACGAAGGACATCGTCTGAAGAACATGAATTGCAGGCTCATCAAGGAACTCCTGACATATAACTCAGCAAATCGCCTTCTCATTACTGGTACTCCTCTCCAGAATAACATTGCCGAACTGTGGTCTCTACTCCATTTTCTACTTCCAGAGGTCTTCAATGACCTCAGCAGCTTCGAATCATGGTTCGATTTCTCTACAGTTCTCGAGGACAAGGCCTCCGACGGTCGAGGTGAGAAGCAGAAAGGGAAGCTCGTTTCGACGATGCACGCTATTTTGAAGCCTTTCCTTCTCCGACGAGTCAAAACCGACGTAGAATCCTCGCTCCCGAAGAAGCGTGAGTATATCCTCTACGCACCTTTGACTACCGAGCAAAAAGAACTCTACCGCGAGATTCTGGCTGGCACCAGCCGTAACTACCTGGAAGGCAAAGCAGTTGAAAGAATCGAAGCCAAATCTCGTACTGCATCCCTTAAACGAAAGGCAAACGATAGTGGTCGCTCCACTCCCGCCAAAAGCATCAAGACAAGCCGAGCATCCACTCCTGCCTCCACCATATCAACCACAGGATCCGTCCGTCGGGGTCGTAAAGGTAGGCAATCCTACAGAGACATCACTGACCGCGAATTTAACGCCAAACTCCGCCGGCTTGAAAACGGTGATGAGAATCCCTCCGACAATGAAGCCTCATCCCACAAGATTTCCTCGAGCGAGGAACTCGAAATCACCCGCGCCGCAAACCTCAGACTCGCAAAGAAGGAAATCTCAACCAAGAAACTCCAAAACCCCGTCATGCAAGCCCGGCTGGCCTGTAACTCCCCTCACAACTTCTATTGGCCATGGGGACCGCAAGCCTTGTCTACCGATGATGACGACGACGCAGAGAATCCCTCCCCTCCCGTAGACGAAACGCTAGTAACCGCCTCCGGCAAACTCCTCCTCCTCGACCGTCTCCTCCCGCACCTACTAAGCCTCGGCCACAAAATCCTAATCTTCTCCCAGTTCAAAACCACGCTCAACATCATCGAAACCTACTGCTCAGCCCTGCGTTCATACCCTTGCTGCCGCATCGACGGCTCCATCAGCCAGTCCGAGCGAGCGGCGCAGATCAAAGCCTTCAACACCGACCCCTCCACCAAACTGTTTCTCCTATCCACCCGCGCCGGCGGCCAGGGCATCAACCTCGTCAACCCGCAGCAGGATCTGCAGGCCATGGATCGCGCGCACCGCATCGGCCAGACGAGGCCGGTGATTGTGTACCGCTTTGCGACCCGGGGCACGGTCGAGGAGGTGCTGTTGGGCAAGGCGGACGCGAAGCGGAGGCTCGAGAAGCTGGTCATCCAACGCGGGAAGTTCAGGAGCCTGCTGGATGGGCTGGATGCTCGGAAGGGGACGCTGAAAGACGAAGACGAACTAAAAGGCGTCTTAGGCGACCTGGAGGAGTTTGAGAAATTCGACACCGCTACCTCCGCTTCGACGACGGATGGAGTCGGCAATGCGACGGAGAGGGCCGTGCCAGAGATTCTATCCGAGGAGGATCTGAGAGTGTTGACGGATCGCTCCGAGGCGGCGTATGAGCGGGCAGAGAAGGGCATGGAGATCGAAGGCAAGAGTGGAGTGTTCAAGGTGGCCGAGACGAGGAGGGAGGGGGAGCAGGTGCTGGGCGAGATGAGTACGAAATGAACCGGTTTACTGTGTTCGGAAATGGTGAGATGAGTTCATTGTGATGGAGTCATTTCTATGGCATCGCAGGATAGCCTTACCTCGCCTCACTGTCCTGGTCGTGTTGGCTGGTCATCCATCGCATCATCATTGCTGGAAATTGAGTCTTGCATAGTATGAGCTTAGACTTCCACGCCAGACACCTCTGTCAAAGCCAAGTCCTATGCATTTGCTCTCTCTCTCTCCAAAGCTCGCTTCATTTCGCTGGCTTGAGCTTCCTGCGCCACCCACTGCTCTCTCAAATCGAGCGGTCAAGCATTTAACTATTGAGCGATTGATTTCTTTCTACTGCTGAGCAATTTCGGATTCACCTTGACGCCTCAGGATCCTGCGCTGTTGCCGCAAGCTGTGCTCTCCCAACCTCCCGACCCCTTGCTTTCATCGCCAGCCTTGCCTCCTTTTCCCTCCGGTCTCGCTCCCTCTTCTCCGCCAGGTCCGCTTCTTTCTTCCTCTGCGCCTCAGATTTTCTATATCTCCTCTTCTCTTTCGGAGCGTCTTGAGACACTGTTGTCTTCGCGACCCCAAAGGTGGGTATTGTACCATTCTGTGGCCCGGTGAGTGCTGGGTCCGCGGCTGACAGATTTGTGATTGGAAGTGTGGTTTTGGTGAGCCCAGTGGCAATAGATTTTAGATTGGCGGCTGCCTTTTTGACTCCTTCCCCTGCTTCCTGGAGGGGTGTCAGTGGTCGGGCGTTCTGTGAGACAGGTGCAATTTGTGGTTGAGTGATTGAATCTGCTGTAGATGGAGGGTCTTGATGAATTGATTGGTCATTTATGACGATTCCAGAGACAGGATCCAATCTTGGGTACGTGTTTTCTGTATCGGGGTCCGGTTGCTGTGGCGTCGCACGAGGCCGAAATGTAGCTGCGGTCAATTGATGGTCATTCTTCAACCCTTGCTCCTGGTGGCCGATGACGATTCCACTGGTAGAGGTGGAGATTTTAGAGCTCAATTTCCTTCGAGCGGGGACAGGTGAACCAGCCTCAGTCACAATAGATCTATTCCCCTGCACTATGTCAGGAGATATAGATGCTGGCGTCGATGTGAAGTCAGGAGTGGCAGGTAACGGGCTTTCCATGGCGTTTTCGTCACTTATTGGACCAGCCTTTTCTAACTTACCATTTTCGTGCGTTGTATTGCCAACCGCTTGAGTTGATGGAGGTCCATCGTAGGACAATTTGGTGAATCGTTCAGAAATTGGCGAGAAGGCAGGGGCCGCTGTTTCGGATCGTCTTCGGTGATCAACTGATGCTGGCAGACTGGTTTCAGCGTAGGGCTTTGGCTGGACCGGAATCCATGGAGTTGATTTTGCTGCATCTCTCTCCGAAGCCTTAAGCATGGATTTCGTAAAATCATTTCCTTCTCTGGACATGCCAAGTAGATTTTGATTGAACTTATTCATCACTGAACCCGCTGAAGGTTTTGCAATGGTGTTTATCTGCTTAAACTTGGACATTGTTTTAGGAGGCCGAACGACAACTCGCGAAAGAGGTAGTGGTGAAGCAATCCTCCTAGGGCTATTTGAGGGACTTCCTGATAAGCTGGGTGCGGGTAGTCGTGGGACATTGGAGCCGGCCTGCTTCGTATTGGCACTTGATTTAGGGCTCCCAATAGAAGTAGATGGTGCCGGCACAGCTCTTAGCCGGTTATCAGCAGTAATAAACAGCCGTGTTGAGGGAGGGTTGGGCTGTAGTTTCTGGGCTTCTTTGTCAATCTCGTCTGACATTTCACAGTCACTTTCGCCCTCGCTACCATATGCTCCAGGCTGAAGCCTTGCTATGGCTTCAACATATTCTTGCTTCGGCTGTACATTCCTTCGAGATCGGCCGCTAGATCGTGCCGCAGATATGTCATCCGCTGGGACTGGGGAATTGGACCGGGCCCGAGAAGAGCTGCGATGTCGAGCTGTCTGCTTCTCGGCTGGTGCACATATTTTCTGATGCTGCACCTTCTTCAAGCTCCGAGTTCTGGCAGTCTCCCTCGGTTCCGGCCCCTTCCTGGGTTGACTGTCGCAGTGAGGGCTGGAACGAAGAGCATTTTCTGTGTCTTGCTCTGTCTGCAATCTGTCCGGGCTGACAGCTGAGACGTAGCCAGAGTCCCAGCCACTTCGATCTGGTGTCAAAGGATTCAGTAATAGTACCTGACGATCATGAGGACGTGCTGCACGTGTTTGTCCGGACAGATAACCCCAATCTCCAACCATTTCTCGTGGAATACTTCGCTGCCCAAGAAATCTTTTGCCTAGATTTACCGCGGCCCTAGTCGCCTGCAGCAGGCTCTCATCGATCTCAGCTTGAATCTTGTGCATAAAACTCCGAGTCTGGAACTCCTGATATGCCTCCGGCGCTCCTCGCAGTGTTAATGTGTGGTCGACACGTAATATCCCATTGAGCTGATCCTGTTGCATCCAGAATATGAGATAATCCTCCATCCGGCTTTGATAATTGTACTGCTGCGCAAGCCTTGTAACATCTCCAAGTTCTTGTGCATATAAACCAAGCATATCGTAGACTTTGGACATGGGATACCTCTCGGATAATCGACTGATGATGGCCAACTGTACAGCGGGGCAGAGATCGCTCCAGTTCACGGTATGATTTATGATGATCTGCACAGACACGCATTTGTTAGCAGTTGATTTGACTTAAGCCTCAACCAAAGTCGAGTCTGAGGAAGTAGGTTCTGACCTGCTGACTGAGATGCTCGCGGCCATTATTCTGCGTATCGAATGGCGGATGGTTATCTTCTTGGCCAGGCACATCGCCATGATCATCGTCACTAGTAGCCATCTCATCTTCGAAGGCAACATCTGCTGGTGATTTTGACGTCGGGACGTTTCGCATCTTTGGGTACAAACCAATAGGAAGTGAATCGACGTTGCTCATATGGCAGTCATCTAGGTGTTTGTCAGCCCATGGTTCAATTCACTGTCAGCCAGCAGAGGTGTTCCTGACTGACCATCAGAGCTTTCTTCAGCATCTGCAGCTGCCTTTGCGGTTGCCGTACCCTCATCTTCGCCATAAATGTCTACTTCTAATGGCCGGCTCGGAAAGACAGCTGGTGGAAGATGAGGATTGAAAGGAATAACTTGTGCTCTCAGCTTCTCAGGGAAGGCTGGCTGGGTGGGGTCCTTGGATCTCTTGCCGTATGCGATCTCATCTTGTAGTTTCTGAGGGCGGTTGATGCTCTTTCGAAGGTTCATCTTGGAAGTTGTAGTGAGAGTATGAGGAAGGAATGTCTGTGGCGACAGTGAAAATTAAATTCCTACCGATGAATGATGATTAACAGGAAGAAGAGATGCTTTTGATTGTAAGGAGCCGATCTTGTATTTTTGTTACAACTCCCGCAAAGCGCATACTGATGTGTTGTGGTGGAGGTCTTCAAGTGTTCAGTGACTGCAAACTTGATCTGCTAACACATGAAACAACTGCTTTCTCTACAAACCCCAGCCACTCACTAGACACTTTCCTCGATCCAATTAGTCAAGTGAACAGGATTCAGCATGGAGATCAAAAGTGAACTTACCCTTCATCTCGTCCCACTAAGCTTGAATATCACCATATGGACCATTGCCTTCTGACTCCTACCGATGTTGTTCTGCAATGCTCATACACCCTTCTACCAGCACAAAATCAAAGTTCCTTGACTCTTCCCACGCCTCAGAATCCTTTTGTACAGATGACCTGCCCTCCACATTCATTCTTCCATGTCATGGAAGGGAGCCGATCCCCTCCTCGCTTCACCCTGAAGGTTAGAGCACCAATTATGCGTCTCCATAGTTTCATCATCGTTGTAAACGTTGTCGAGCGTTCTCTTGAAACGAGCTGGCTGACGAACAATCTCCTTCCTGGAGTCTTTGTTCGAAAGTTTGTTCGCCCTACCCACATCTCTCTCGGCTCTCAGAAGCGTTTCAAATGTGCCCAAAGCGTTCTTGGTGGAATCGTCAATGCAAATGCTGAAGCGTTGAGATTGCACTGCCTGGATCGCGGTGATTACATCAACGTTGAAGACAGCCATAAGATAAGCAGCTACAAATGCAGCTGACCTCTCATTGCCAGTCTCGCAGAAGATGAGGACTTTTCCCTGAATGACAACCGGCCGGACATTGTCAGTCAGACTGAGCGAACCTCCATTTGCTGTGTACTCCAGATGATCATTTATTGTTTTAATGGCGGCAGGGAATTTGCGCATCAAGTCAATGGGTGAATCAATATCGACATTGCAGGAGGAAATTCCGTATTGGGCAGCCATCTTAGCAGCATCCATTGTGCGAGTCGGACCAGATGCAGTGCTTCGAACTGATACCAGAAACGTAAATCCTCTCTCACGTATGAACTTCTCATTTTTAGCTGCGGAGAGTGGTCCGATGTATAGGTAGGGAAGAACCATCTGTGCCTCTCTCCTGTCATCATACCTCCAGTCGAGCATCTTATGCGTAAGCGTGACACTGCCATCGGTGATGAGAGCCTGAAGGAATACTGGGTTTCCAAATCGGTTAGAACCGTAGTCCATAGATTTTGAATGCTTGACAGTCATCGAAGGTTGTCCTTGTGAGAAATCGAGAGTTGGTGGTGGTATCGTAAAAGATGAAGGTTCGCTCAAGCGTTCCGACCAAGAATAGGCGGCCACATAACTTCCATGAGAGGTCGTTAGATCCTCGGCCGAGACCATCTTGATGGTGAAGAGCAGAAGGATTTACTGTCGGAGCAGAGCGAGCAGAGGCTTCAAGACCAAGGCTATTTGCCACAAAAAGTAAGAATCAGACACGTGGAGGAGATGTCGTGGGTCGTCAACGTCTGCTTTACCGTGGTCATGCGAATATGTAATTGAAGGCAGAAGCAAACGCAGGTAGTGCTGACAATGCAATGCGAAGAAGGGCTGCGTGGTTGGTATCACATTATCGGAATGACAGCATTGGTACTAGAAGTTGACTGCAGTACGTGGAAAGATCCAGACCTCAATACCGAAGTCATAGAAGAGCAATACAGTCGCTTCTTGTTTGCTCTAGAGAGTCCGCATAGCCACAGTTGGTAACAGATCATCCGATTCTACACCTCGGCGACACAAACAGGCATACCTGATGGAGGGGATGATATCTCTAATCAAGTATGTTGGATGGCTTGAGACTATAGATGCAATTCTTTGTATTAGTTTGAGTCTAGTTTTCTGAAATCCCTTCTATATTTGGCAACACATACGAGTACCACTTGTCACCTCAGCAGCTATCTTAATTATCCGGTTGATTCTCCAGATTGCAATATTTTTTCGCGTTCTACCCTGTGAACGCGACCGTCGACACAGCCAGTCTACGGATTTCGAATAGGTGTAATGGATGTGGCAGGGCAGATGCGGACGAACCGAATGTAGAGAATGGACTGAATGAAGCTAGTCCACACCCTTCCATCTCGAAGGGCAGATCGTACAGTATCAAATGCTTGTGATGCAAATGAACAACAAGATGGTATCATTTCCGCGTCGAGTTATTCTGCTTTTCCCGAGCGTCTATCAGCTGTCTCTCCTGCTCTTGTTGCCGCTGTAAACTCTGCTTCACCTGTCGTACAGCACGCTCAACCTCTGCGGCCAACTCTGGAACCTCTAGGTTCTTGGCCACCAATTTGTGTGCACCGGGCTGTAGAAGCATCGATTCTTCTGGATCAACACCCTCCAAAACCTGGGATCGTGTTACGAAGGTGAAACGTTTAGAAAAGTTTGGTGGCGTGCTGTATATGCTCTCCATAGGTGGAGTGGATACTGGTCTGAAAAGGCGGCTGTCCACTAAGAAATCTAGATGATCAGAGCCTTTTAGGGCTGCAAAAGTAAGTTGGGGGGGATTTCCATGTCTGCAGCAATGACCGCACCTCTCCAATGAGAATAGCATCGGAACGCTAGATAGAAAAAAGGTATGTTTGGCAGTCTGTGCTAGGGAGTTAGCTATGTGACAAAGATCCTGTTCAGGGATAACTCACACTGGTATTAGACCAAAGGGGATGGTGAAAGGCAGGCCTATCAAACTCCATATAAAACGCTTCCAATGCAGCTGCTTGCGTTCACCTGCAAGCCTTCTCATAATCTTTGGTACATCTTCCTTCTGAACTATATTTTCTGGAAAGACGACATCGAATTTCTGATTTTTGCTCAGCTCCTCAGCCTGAAGCTCATCGGTAAGCGGTGGAAAGCTTTTCAACGCCCATTCTTGATAAGGTATACGCCGGAGGCCCTCATTGCCATATCGGGTCAGGGCTTTCTTCCAACCAGATTCGGCGGTCTCCCACTTGGCCCAGGTCTCTGGTACTTTGTTAATCGTTTTCTGTACCAAGCTCAGTTCGGTGGTGGGTTTTTGGTGGAGAGATTGGCAGTAGATCAATGCTCGTCGCGTCGAGATAGGGAGGAGGAAGAGTCGCATAGCAGACTGGCTCAGCTCATTTGATGGTGAGACTGGAAGTCGGCAGGTGCCTGACTAGTAACAACCTCAAGGGCAATCATCTAGGAACTTAGAGAGAGATTTGGCGCATTATGATCTGATGAACGCCAAACGCGAGTATCTTTTAGGATGCGTGCAAGCTAGAGATCTGTCCACCACGTCATTCCGTGCCCTGTTGCTTTGGCGTTGACTTGCAATGATCGACAGCCGGGCCGGCTGCCCAGACCAACTTGCTGCTGGGGAATCGCTTTCAAGGATTCTTGGATTGTCGCGTGGGTGCTTGCAGGTTGTCTATCCACGCAGATATCCATCTGACCTTGACTTTGACCTTGACCTTGCGAGGTTGCAGATTCAAACGGGCTTCTGAGATATTGATAGTCTATCACTACTAGAGTACAGCTGCGCTGCTCGAGTCTACATGGTTACCTGCACAGTCGCAAACATGGGTCGCTGTCCTCACCACGTTTCATGACGCCCACCCACTGGGCCCTGTTCCTGCTTCTGAGCTATTGCTGAGAGCCTCGAAGATGGCTGGCCGACTCCCTGCTGGTCAGCCGCGCCTGCACAACAATGCCGGGATTAAATTCGCCCTTGCTCAGTCTGGAGGTCCAAGAGTATCCGAATCAGCCACCTCGAAGACGTTCTCAGAGAGATCAGCAGAATCGGCCAACCCAAGCACACGAGACAAGGCGTTGGAAGAGCACAATCGACATCGTGGACTGTCTACATACTCCAACTCATCAACAGGTCATTCTGCTCCACATGACATTGTTCAAGCACGGTCAGCACGAACTCCCGTACGAACGATTCCGGGTATGCGAATCTGCACATTATCATACACAACTCATACTGATCAATATTACAGCTTGGGTAAGGTCTGTAGGAGAGGATGACTTGGTGCCGGAACCACCTTCTGATTACTTTTTTCCAAATTCTCCACAATCTGCTTTCGTCGCTCAACACAATCATAGCCCATGGACAAAATTTAAAGAATCTAGACAACAATTTGACAAATCCGGGGACGGCAATCCACTACGATTTGCCTATCCTCAGCAAGCGAGGAATTCACGATGGATCTCGTTCGCAAAACCAAGCACGTATCCCAGCGAACATTGGCAAGGCGAAAAGGTGGAACCAGAATGGCTCAACACGCACCTTACAGACTATTCTAAGCCTTGGCTTGCCGATCACGATGACGACGACGTTGGAGATGGCAGTAGTAGATACCATGCTTTCAGGAGGAAAAGAAAGACATGGTACAAGCGGATGCAGCAGACCATCCTTCGAAACCCGATGATCCCTCTGGTCTTCCGTATGACTGTTTTTACATTCTCGACTGTTGCTCTCGCACTCGGAGCAGCAATACATCGAGAATCTGAAGCGTACGGATTTTCACAAGGTCCATCGGCATTGATTGCAACAATTGTTGACGCTGTCGCTTTGGTCTATATTCTGTACATCACTTACGACGAGTACACAGGCAAACCCCTAGGCTTGAGACCTGCGAAGGCTAAACTAAAGGTGATTCTGCTGGATCTTTTCTTCATTGTTTTCCAATCTGCAAATCTGAGCTTAGCGTTTCAGACGCTGTCCGATCCCGATGAAGCTTGCACACCAGGCGACACAGGAGAGCCGTCCGATACTACGAATAGTGGGATATGCGGTAAGCAGAAGGCTCTTGCTTCGGTGTTATTGATAGCGTTGATTGCATGGCTGAGCACGTTTTGCGTGAGCATATTGAGGTGAAAATGCCTTTTAAGCATTGTGAGTTGCTCTGACAGCAGTATAGGCTAGTTGAACGTGTTGCGGCACGGTGAAAGGACAGACCTGTGAAGCACACAGTTCCCGGAACCAACTTTTATCAAACATCTCCTACCTCCTTGGGCCAAAGTGGCTTATATACAAGCAGCTGCTTCAGCCACGACAGCATGCTAATTCGATAAAACAACGGATGATGTTGGAAACATTTTATATTGACAACAGATCACTGTATCTGTGCTGTCCTACGAGACATCAAGTGCTGGACCTTTGTCGCCATATATCGGATCCTTGTCAAACCACCCCAAATGCTTGATGTTCCCCACTTTGTCTGCCTCATCCTCTCTACCATAGCACATATCCCAGCTTTTCCCGCCAGGATACGATCCAACCATACTGAAACCACCTTTGTCTTCCAGTAATCGATGTGCAACTCCGGCAGGCACAACGATCACATCTCCCTTCTGGACCTCCGGCTCAACTCTGTCGGGATTGTCTTCACCACCAAAGCAAAGCTTAGCTGAGCCAGCAAAGACGCAAAGCACTTCGTGTGTATTGGAATGAAAATGGGATGTACTATACATTGTATAGCGCCATGCAGGGGTCACGACGCCGATGGAGCTAAGATGAGACTCGATTTGGGAGGCGCTTGGTGTTTGAAATGCGGAATGATAAATCAATAGAGGTTTGCCCTGGATGGATGTATTTGGGAAGTTGTTGAATGCCGGGATCCGGTGCTGACCAACTTGTAGATTCTTCAAAGCGGTCAATGTCGCTTTTCCAGACATTGTGTTTATGTGCGAAAGGAGCTGGGGTGATGTTTCTGTCAAGTTATGAAGCATGTACTCTAGACATGGGCTTAAAAGGCTTGGGGTGCTGGTGCGGTAATGGCGACGTAACAATTAATCCAAGGCAAATCACAAGTTATGACTAATTAGGCGTCACTTATTTTATGCTGACCTCGTCATACTAGAGAACCCTCTAAATGCCGAAACATGGCCCCCAGGTTTTTGTAATATTAGGGAAGTGCATTTCAGGTTCTCTTGTGAATATCGACCCTTGGCTATTAAGCCTCATCCAAGATAGTAGGGAACCAGGAAGCCTGGAGGAGTACTAATACATCAAAACCATTTAAATCACCCGGATCTGTCAATCTTGTTATATGTAAGATTAACAACACTTGTGAAGGCCCACAACAGTACCGCATCGTGTGTTCAGAGGACTTGGCAGCAGCCTGGCTTTCCACCACTAGTATTGATATTCACGTAGTTCCTCCAAGTGCGCCGCTCATGAATCCACAAATCAGCTGTTGTCAGGCACTGATCAGACTTCGACAATAGTTCTCCTTCCTCAAACTCTCAGCGATTCAAACCATCAGCTTCGAAAATCACCTTGCGGTCATCTTTCAGCTGAAGGTGCAGTTGCCACTTTACGAAACCTCGGTCAGCCTTCGGGCATCAGCTTTTTCGACCTTTATCCTCTACCTTCTTCCACCACCCAGGCACGTTACAAAATGTCGCGTGTACCTTTAGTTTCGGCTACAATGCTACCGTCCGCTCGAGAAAGAGACGATCTAGACGCGACGTGAGCACACTTCTTTGGGGGCAGTGTCAAATAAAAGCATGAAGCTGACCTGGGCAGATGGTCATACCTGGAGAAGAACGTTGATAACGTCATGTGGAAGTTGGAGGAGGGACTTGACATGAAGACGGTAAAGATGCTTCATCTTACCATCTTTTCAGCTACTGACTATTTCTTCGCAGTATATGGGTGTCTATACGTTCGTGTTCCTCAGGTTGAGCGGCGACAAGAGACTGACAGATCGGCAGGGCGGTTCACAACTTCTGCACTTCTCAGAAAGCAGTCAACAGTAATCATCAGAATACAGGAGCTCTGACACACAATCACCGTGGAGGTAACTCCGTCCACCTAGCTTGGGCGATATGAACTGACCAATTTCAGCACACCTTCTGGGCGAAGAGCTTTACCAACTTCTTGGCGAATATCTTACGAAGCATCTCCAGACTGTAGCAGAGAGCGCTGGTAGTCACAGCGATGAAGCTTTACTTGCTTTTTACATTCGAGAATGGAAGCGGTTCACCGATGCGGCCAAATTCAACAATCATCTATTCCGGTACCTAAATCGACATTGGGTAAAGCGGGAGATGGACGAAGGCAAAAAAAACATCTACGATGTCTACACCCTGCACCTTGTCAAATGGAAAATGGACCTATTCATAGCAGTCCAAGGAAAGGTGATGGAGGCAGTTCTGAAGCTTGTCGAGAAGCAGCGAAATGGCGAAACGATCGACCAGATGCAGATCAAGGCAATCGTGGATTCTTTCGTATCCCTAGGTTTGGACGAAAACGACAGCACAAAATCAACGCTCGAAGTTTACCGCTTCTTCTTTGAAAAGCCCTTCATCTCAGCTACACGTCTTTACTACCAGAACGAGTCAAAGAGATTTGTTGCCGAGAACAGCGTCGTTGAGTACATGAAGAAGGCAGAAACTCGTCTAGAAGAGGAGAAACAGCGGGTCACCCTATACCTGCACTCGGATATCATGAAAAGATTGATGGAGACATGCAATGAAGTTCTCATCACGGGCCACTCACTACTCTTACGAGACGAATTTCAGGTGCTGCTGGATAACGAGCGCACAGATGATTTGGCTAGAATGTATCGCCTGCTATCTCGGATCAAAGATGGTCTTGACCCTTTGCGGACTCGCTTTGAGACACATGTGCGAAAAGCCGGTCTCAGCGCGGTGGAGAAGGTTGCAGCTGCAGGAGAGAACTTTGAGCCCAAGGTATACGTTGATGCGCTGCTTGAGATCCACGGAAAATATCAGCAACTTGTCAATGTTGCTTTTGCAGGAGAATCGGAGTTCGTCCGTTCATTGGACAATGCGTGCAAAGAATTCGTCAACCGCAACCAAATTTGCAAGTCAAGCTCGAACCGTTCTCCGGAATTGCTTGCGAAATACACCGACCAGCTCCTCCGGAAAGGAGCTAAAGCTGCAGAGGAGTCTGAGCTCGAGGAGATGCTGATTCAGATCATGGTGGTATTCAAGTACATCGAAGACAAAGATGTGTTCCAGAAGTTTTATGGGCGGACATTGGCCAAGCGCTTGGTTCATACCAGTTCAGTGTCTGATGATGCTGAGACCAGCATGATCAGCAAGCTCAAAGAGGCATGTGGCTTCGAATACACCAACAAGCTGCAGCGCATGTTCCAGGATATTCAGCTCTCCAAAGATCTGAATTCACAATACAAGGAGTGGCATGATAAGCTTCTTGGAGACGGGGATGACCGCAAATCTCTTGATCCGTCCTTCCAAGTTCTTGGCACAGGTTTCTGGCCGCTTAGTGCGCCCGGGACCCCTTTTGTACCCCCGAACGAGATCACCAAAGCTATGGAGTCGTTCACTAATTTCTACGACCATAAACATAGTGGCCGCAAGCTCACCTGGCTTTGGCAGCTTTGCAAGGGCGAAATGAAGGCCAACTACATCAAGACCGGAAAGATTCCGTACACCTTTCAGGTGTCGACCTACCAGATGGCAATACTGTTGTTGTTCAATGATAACGAGAAGCTTGATTTCGCCGACATTCAACAGTCCACCTCTCTGAATGACGATATCCTGGAGCCGAACATGGCCATCCTTTGCAAAGCCCGTGTGCTACTGCAGACACCAGAGGACGGCAAACCGCAAGCAGGCATGAAGTATGCGCTGAACTACAACTTCAAGAATAAGAAGATCAAAGTCAACTTGAACATCCAAGTGAAGTCCGAGCAGAAACATGAGGCAGAGGACACACACAAGACGATTGAGGAGGATCGAAAGTTGCTACTTCAGGTATGTATCTGCCTCTTCTGATAACTCCCACAACCGGGATGTCCTAATCAAGTGTCTAGTCTGCAATTGTTCGTATCATGAAGTCGAGGAAGAAGCTAAAGCATGTCGAGCTCGTCCAAGAAGTCATTCAACAGGTCAAAGCCCGATTTCCCCCCAAGATCCCCGATATCAAGAAGAATATCGATGCTTTGATGGAGAAGGATTACATAGAGCGGCTGGAAGGTGATGAATTGTCCTACATAGCATGACATGTGGTTCATGGCACCTGGTTTTGTGGAAAGTTTGAGGACATCGGTGAGCATGCTGGCGAATACACCCGCTTATCATGTCATAAGATGTGTGTATACCTTACCACAACTGCACAAAGGACTTCCGGACTCGAAATTGCATTGCGCGGTTGATTTGCAAGCATCAGGGCGCCTATGCATGTGGCTTTTCGGTGATGATGCTTAAAGCGCTGTGTATATCTGGCGTTTGAGGGATACTAGGCTCGGATGAGCTTGCTGAGGGGCGCTGCAATATCATGAAGGAAAGTCACAGAGGGAGCAAAGGAGCTGCCGGATCACACTGAGATGCATCGTGAGAGCAACAGATCCTCTTAGGACAGATCCTCTTAGGACAGATAGGATGAAAAGCAGCTGATACATAATCACCCCTTCTCCATGCGTTCTCTAATTCCAGTGGATGTTTCTGCGAGTGTACTATCTTGCTGCTCACAAATGCTGGGTCCCGAATCTTCTCTCTGAAACACCTTTGCTGCGTAATTTCCCGCTTGTCAGCCAAGGGTTCTGTTGGAAGAGGTGGTACGTACGTGCTGTTCTTTTGTCACACTTTTACAAGGACTATGCCGTGGTAGTACATAAAGCTGGCGAAGGCCAAGCCTGCAGCTCGTCATCTGGTAATTGCGGCTTGAAATTTTGTTGGACCAGGACATTTAATTCTCACAGCAATTGAAGATCATGCCAGAAATTGAAGAGATCGAGCCTTTAATTGCTGTTGTTGATTTTCATCATGCGAGGTAGGTGTTTTCGAACCTTCCAGGACACCCGCATTGACACTTCCCAGAGGGCCTGAGATTGAGTTATGGGTGGGTGTGGCGGAGGATGTGGACCCAGCAGCAGACAATGACTGGTCCTTGCTACCGTTCATGGCCCTCACGGATGGAGCACATGCGTGAGGTTGAATGCGTAGCCACCCCTGATGTTGCACTAATCTGCAAGAAGATCTACGGAGGATTTCTCCTACTTTACATTAACACAAACTGCCACCAGTAGCCGACCTGCGACCTCCCTGTTCGGTATTTCTTGCACGAGGCAGCTCGATGCCAACAAACTCAAGCACAGATCGGCAGATATAACAAGGTCTACTGTTCAAAAGGCGGTGGTTATCATCATCAGTCAGCCATACCGGTTCAGTCAATTGAGAGAAAGCCTCTCAGCTGTTACGGCGGCATGGTTTGCTCAGGAGTGAGTGGAGCAACTGTGGTGACGACCAATCTATAATTCTAATTTCAAGATAAGGGACTTTTCAGATGTCGAAATTCTGAAGGTCGGTGTGTATGTAAACCTACGTCGCATACGTCCCCCCTAATACTGCTCTACAGAGGTTTCAGGAAAGCCTCTCGCACAATCTGCACAACCTGCACATCGAAGAGCAAGACCAGAACCAGTATATCGGTGAGCCTATATGACCCATTGGCGGTTCTTTCTGCTCATTCATCCCAGGCTTGTCACTTCGTGAAATGATTCATGACTTCAAGCACCAGACCCTCGTTTTGTTCAAATGTTGCCTGTTACAGCCAAAAGTGCGCACTTCTTCCCTGCGCTGATACTGATGTTGATTGCCCTAGATGCTCTTTTTCGGCTCTCGTTGCGAACGATTATGCATGATGCAGTTTGCCTTGATATCACTGATACCCGGTCTTATATGCAATCTTCAAGATTGCGCAGATCCTGCTCTTGACCAGTATTCCCAAAACATATCTAAAGCAACATCTCTGAAGACCAGTGAACGAAGGTCTTGTACGTTTTTCGATCAGCACCACCATTGCTTAGCTGATCTACTTTAGTGCTCGCCTACATGGGTCTACCTCTACAAATATTCGGCAAGGTACATTTCAGAGCTTCCTCGCCACTCTCTACGCTGATCTTGTCTTACAGGGCAGCTTCTTTGGGCCATACACACCGTTGCAGCAGCTGGACATCTTGGCTGACTATGGAACCAAATCTTATATCGTTGGCTCTACAAATTCCCTTTTGCTCCAACAGAAAGACAAGTATAGCGATATACTTGTAAACCTTGACGAGAAGATGGTTAATATCACTTCCACGTCCTTGCGGACTGCCTTATCACTTCCTGCTGCAGACCGTCGTTGGATTGATTTCCTGACCCAAACAGTACAAGATACCTGGGATCCTGCCAACCCGGATCGTCCTCATACAATGGGCTATGCAGGCTCAGAAGAATTTATCCGGCTGCAATTTGAGGAATATCTCCTTGCTTTGCTGTCGTCAGTGAGTTATCACAATCACCTAAGCTCTCTACGAACAACAGTCCAGTTGCAATCCTCAACACATACACCAGAGGAGGATCCGTCCTTAGAGTTCAATTCTGATTTCATTCATGCGTGGAAGGAAACCTCTAATTATGCTCTATTTACCAGTCTAACGTCTGAATCATCGCTATTCGACATAATAGAAGCAAAACATCCTACAGCAGGTGGACTCAGTGTCGAAGATGTTCAAAGGCGGCTGGCGCAGCAAGTTGCGGAACTACACCTTGATGAACGTGTACGTGAAGGGAGGGAGACTCTGGGCAAACACCTGGCCATGGGAAGGGAAAGATTTGGACAATTGGGTAACAAGATCTGGGCCGATATCGAGGCGATGAGAGAAGGGCAGCGGACACGAGCAAGCGAAGAGAGCAGTACAAGCGCCCACGCGAGGCAGAGCGATGGTGCAGGCTCAGAAGGCGAAGGTGGCAAAATCTCAGGTTCAGGACGATATGCTTGGCCAAGTCGAGCTCAGGCGCCAGACCTTACTCAAGTGCAGGCTAGCGCGAAAGACGCGTCTGCCAAAGCAGGTGCCTACCTATCGAGCTGGGGCAGCTGGGCAAGGGACAAAGGAAAGGAATGGCAGGAGAAGAGAACAACATCGCCCGCGGCACAAAGTCCTCCCAAGACACCCATAAACAATACGACAAGCGCCGCGCAACACGAGAATAGTCAGTCAATATTGTCGTCAACAGGAAGCCAGCACAGCGGAAAAGGACGGCTTTCTGGTGAGCTGGTGGCCGACAAGGCGAGGCGCTGGAGTAGTAGGCTAAAGAAGCCTGAGAAGGGAAGCAGCAGCACCGCTGATAGTGTAGATCCCACTGAATTGTCCAGTGAGAGTGCTAAGTCTCCCAAGAATACCTCTACAGAGTGTTGAGTATTCTGGCCGGGGTCAATCATCTATGGTGGCATTGGCATATTTTCTTTCGATGCATAGCGAGGGGAGTTTCCGGGCGCAAACCGTGAGCAAACCAAGCCGCGTCGAGGACGCACATTACTAGTAGTGAAAGCCATTTGATGTGGCCGGCATTCTTACCTCAATCATCAGAGGTACCACGTTTTCATGTCTCCTGACTCCTGACTCCTGACTCCTGAATTCTGCATAGGCTAAGCTTTCCCATGGTGACTCAGCAGGACCAATTTGGTATGGTGCGGAAAGCTGCGTCTAATCTCCTCCGAAAGTCGACGATTAGGATTCAACGAAGCATCGTTTGCTGGTCCCCCCTTTCCGCGCTTCGCCTCGCGGTAAGCGTTGCCTGGCTTGCGAAAAGGGTCAAATTTGATAGACCCTGGCACGTTGTCTCCGGACCCTTACACACAATTCATTTCACCTTTCTTGTCAGATATTCTGTCCCATTGCGTAAGGCAAACTTCTTTCTTGTTCCTTCATCGTCCCATATAGGGGACCTTACACCCATTTCTTTATTCTATCCCCTGTTCGAGCCTGACGGCCTTGTGTGCGATTTTCGAAGCGTTTGTTCGAGTCATCCCAACGCACTAGTACAGCAGCTGGTCTGTTCCCATCGTTCTTCCACTTGCTTCAAATCTTCCAGCTGGCTTTTGCTTGGAGATATACGATCTGCCAGCCCTGGTGGCCAATCAACAGCCATGGGCGGCCAATTGTCGAAAATGATGGCCAAGATCTTTGGAACCAAAGAAATGCGGATTCTGATGCTCGGTCTAGACGCAGCGGGAAAGACAAGTCTGCCATCCTTTCCTCCCCACCTACTCCCCCATTTGGACTATGACTAACACTTCTGTCTCAACCTGCAGCCATTCTTTACAAACTCAAGCTCAATCAAGATATAACCACCATCCCTACCGTCGGCTTCAACGTCGAAACCGTCCGATACAAGAATACCAAGTTCAACGTGTGGGATGTCGGCGGTCAGGACAAAATCCGCCCATTGTGGCGGCACTACTATACTGGCACCCAGGGTCTCATCTTCGTCGTGGACTCCAGCGACCGGGCGAGGGTAACCGAGGCCAAGCTCGAGTTGAGGCGGATTTTGAACGACCCCGAGATGAAGGATGCGCTGCTGTTGGTATTCGCGAATAAGCAGGATATTCCGGGAGCCATGAGCGTGCAAGAGGTGATCGAGAACTTGGATCTGAAGCAGTTCAAAAGGAGGACCTACTTTACTCAGAGAAGTTGTGCGACTACCGGGGATGGCATCTTTGAAGGGCTGGTAAGTTGATGGGACCACGCTTCCATCTTTGAGTCGAGTTCGTACTGACCTCCGGCAGCAATGGCTTTCGGATCATATCGGGAAGGTTGGTGTACAAAAGAGAAATGAGGAAGCCGACGAGCAGATACAACGTTGAACGGGCAAAAGATGTGTCGGGATACCTTTTGTCTTCCGTCTTTATCAGCCCCTTACTCTTCTTTGGCCTTCCGTCTGCTGGTATACTTTGCTGAGACGCCGCAGTGGGAAGATATATGGAACATACCTCCTGCTTCGGCCAGGCCTTTTCTTTAGAAAGAGGTGGATGTGGATTGTATAAATACGAAAGTTCTGGTGTTGAGGTGCAGTAGAGATGATGCATATACGTAATTGTGATGATGGACAAACCGTTTCTTACATCTAGTACACCTTCACTACCAGCTTGACTGCTGCTTTCCAATCTTCCATGTATCTTACTTTGGTCTTATACCTACAAGCGTGGGAAGCATATCTCGTTGTTCATACCTGAGAACCAGGAACAGCTTTCTCCTCGCATCTGAAGGGTCTTCCACTTCGATCCATCCATGGTCGTCCTAAGAGTGTATAAGCCCAGCGAGGTGAGGATACCTGGGAACTAACGGGGTCGGCAGATTTAGATGGCAATTCGTACAAAAAGGGATATCTCTTCTCAAGTTGAATCCTGTGTTGTTTTTGCTTCTTCAATCCCATCTCCGCAAAGTGTGATATCCACGTCGTGGATTATAGGCACCATCCCTGTGCAGATACAGCTTGGTAGGTATGCAAGAGCCTTCGGTTATGAGCGATGGAGGATTCAGATCGCGTTACCATAGGATTCTGTGGGATTGGATTCACCAACGAAGGTCGAATTCGAAGCTTCCTGGCTAGAGGCGCTGGGGGGAGAGGACGAGAAGATGTAGATGCAGGAAGGATTGCACCTCGACCACTGATCTAGGTTGCGCTGTGAGCATTGTCGATCTTTTTGACGGGTTTTTGGCGGGTTTTGCACCATTAGATGCAAGCACGCAGGCGGTGAACTTTGTCGTCAGCAAGCTTTCCCCTCTGTCCCATCACGACTTCATAGACAACGGCGCAGAAGTCGTGGGTCCAATCTAGTCCTCACAAAGGAGTGTGGCCTCGCCTGACCATGCACCCTTCCTGTTGCATTTCTCTCTGTGGCCGCTATGTGTTGGTAGGTTGGCGATATTTTCTGTATGCTGAGTAGTAAGTACTCAGGTACCCATCCGATCAGATAATCTTGACCACTTTCTCCGCTCCCTCCGCCTCTTGTAATTCCTGCAACGCATCTTTTGCCAAATCTCCATATCCATCGCCTCTCATTGCTAAGCGATCATCTGGAGAGGTATTATTGCCAATCGGACCGGATTGTGTCGCCAGAGTAATGAATCCAATGCGTCGGTACCTGCTGGCATCAGTGGCCACACTTTCTAGTACAAGATAGTCTGCGCCATCTTTCCCCCCCTGACTGATCCACACCGTCAATTGCAACAACGCAAATTGCTGATTATCACAAGGCTTGTGCTGTTGGTAGAATTCGTGCTTCATGCCCGGTGCCTCCAGGACCGAGGCGCGCAGGACTTTTCGTGTTGCAGGCAGCAAATCGGATGCTGCGGTCGAGTCACTTTTAAGAAAGTTTCCTACGATGAAGAACTTTCCTCGAAGAATGAGATAGCCTCCCTTTACTTGACCGAAGGGGTCCCTGGACATCACCGGCTCTACTTTCACTTCAATAATTTTGGTCCGTTCAGACGCATCCCGTGTACGAGAGTGAGAGAACGCTGGAGGCTCAATGCGCACGGGGCTCCCTTTGACCGCTGCCCAGCTCCAACTGGGCGCTCGATACTCCGCAGAGCCTGTTATAGGAGCGATGGTCTTGGGTACTAAGAATGGATCCAGACTCCACATCAACCCGAGCAACAGCTCCTGTCGCCAAAGTCCAGCAAGATACGAGTCTCGTGTTTGGCGGGCAAGTTCTGAAGCAAGACCTGCAATGCCAGGCAGCGCATCCGTTTCCTTTGTAAGGTTTCGGCTCGTATACTCGTGCACCAAGGTGGTCCAATGACGGTTCGGCTCTTGTTGAAGGGTTCGAGGGAGCTCAATCTTGGCATACATGCCTTTCACGAACCTGGGCACAGTTTTCACCACCCGCAAAGGCGTCCTTGTTTCATTTTTAGCAATTATATTTTCGAGGGCGCCTCTGCTGGTTAGCACGGCGTCCTGGTGGACTCTACCGCCTTCGTCGACATGGCAAGTGAAACATTGCCAGACCATGCGACCTTTGGTATACGATAACGTACGAGATGACAACACAAACTCCTGCAGTGTCCAACCACGCTGTTGGATTGGCCAAGGCTCGCTCTCTTGATCCCAGATGTGTGGTCGCATGCAAACGCTTTCCCCTTGGTCAGGTGGCAATTGGCCTTGGCTGTATGGAACGCTCCACGGCAGTCGACAAAGGTCGAGCTTAGAAGTTCGCTTTGAAAAGATTCCCGTATTTACCGAGGGGGCATTCGCCGCTACCAGGGTCAAAGTGGCTCCTTTATAGACATCTCGCATCCGCGAACTCTCTCGCCGCCAGTCATCCTCGGAGTCTTGTTTAATGCACAGCGCGTCGATCCAAAGATGGCGTATACCAAGCCTTCGGGTGATAGCGATTGCATCTCGCAAGGTCGCTGGAAAGTCGGATAAAGGAATCCCTTCAATCATTGTTCCCATGGTCCTATCATTCAGCACGAAATCGGATTGACCACCCCAGCAATAGCTAAGCGCCACCCATGAGACAATATTTTGAGTTGCCAGACACAAACGGGGATTATTCAACTCAGTCTGTGGCATGACATCGATAAGCCGGGTAGGTGGTCGAACCTTCCGCCTCTTTCTCGTAGCACAAAGATGGTGACTCCTCAAGCAAGTTTGAAGCCATTCTTCTGCTTGTTCGAGGCAACTGGGTTCTGCAGAATCGGCATGAATTGCAGTATGTAAGAGACGGTGTCCACCTGGGGGGAAACGATCTGGACGAGCATCAGTCTCGAATTGCACAGAGTGTTCTGAACAGATCAGAACGTTGCTGGACCAGGTGATGGACCCATAATCAGCATACCTCTAGGAGCCACAGCTTCAAAGTAAAGAACAAAAAGGGTGTCTGACCTCGATCCACACTCCACACGGATTTCGATTAGGGGTGGCTCGCCTATATATGAATGGGCAGCATCACTCTTCCAGGGAACAAGGACAACAGGACGAGAGCCCCATGTTGCTTCGTTCAATAGAGTGTCCTCCGTGCGGGAAGGCCTCCGTTCTTCCTTCTCTATAATCAAGTGCCGAACCAGTCTGCAAAAGTCACAACCGTGGTCTGAAGCAGCCTTTAGACCAGCGTAGGTCTCATGATGCGGGAGACCGTACTCGTGTAGGGAGCAGCACGGGCACTCTCTGTACTCATTCACGTCGCTCTCTATGTGATTCAATGAGCTCGCCATCTGGAGCAGCTGTCGGATATCAATCTTCGCACAGACTTCGCACAGACCCATGGCGATGTCGCCGCAGGCCAAAGGAGAGAAGGTTTCGACGAGGACGGTGCTTGTGCAGCCATGGTGAAGAGCATAACCACAGAGATGGGAAGCTTCTCAAGGCGTAGCCTGAGACAGCTGTGCGGGAAGCCACAGCAGAATCCAACAGCGGTGGAGAAGTGCCTACAAGACGGCAAGGATATTGGTCGATGCTGTTTTAGGTGCTATAAGCCCCAATCACACCCGAATCACATCCGAATCACACTTCCTGCGCCGCAGGGTTACACGGCAAAATTAGAAAAGAAAGCAAACTACACGAGTGATGCTGACGGTTTCATCAGCCACCTGTACATTTCTGTATTTCGCCAGCCTTGCTGGAGCCACAGCTACGATGTTTTCTACGAAGGCGCGGCTTGCAGGCTGTATCCAAACGCACAGACTAAGTACAAGTATCTCAGAGACCCCGTTCCATGCGTGATTACATTCATCCTATCAAAGTATCTGCCTGCTTGCTTGCTGTCTCAAAACGTGACATTCTACAGACTACAGATGTCGTAGGCAGTCCAAATACTGACACAACCTGGGAAAGACTCACAACATCCTTTACCCTATCCTCGGACACTCAGCCTGACACTCTCATCTCACACCACGTCCAAACTAAAAGTTTTATAAAAACTGCCAAACGCAACAGGTCGAAGGATATAGATATCTAGGATGCTTGCCCCATTGAGCAGTTGTGACCAACTTTTTCCGTCCACAGATAAATTTTAAAGCTTCGCCCGTAGTATTGGTACCAAGTACCTTGGGACGGCGTAACTTAGGCTTTCCGGGGGCTCGGCCCGGGATGGTGAAACAAAGAATAGGGGGAGCTTTAGCGCCCTCCATTAGTTTAGGTCATTTAAGCCGCACACCTAAAAGCACTTGGTAGTAACATTATCTTGCCTTGATGGAGGCTTCATGCCCGAGTCCTTGAGGCGCCCGCCCCCTCTTCTTCCTCACTCCAGGCTTGAATGATCACGGAAATAGGAGTCTCTAGTGACGACAGCCTTACTCGGGACTCATAATGCTGTGCTATCTATTATGATATGAAAAGCGCAGTGCTGGGGCCTATATATCCTTGAGTAAATCTCACTTACTAGCACCTGGTATTTATAAAAGATACATGGATTTTCAAGGTCAACTCAGCAGGTCATATAGCGGCCATCAAACATGAGCATGAGCCGCTCTGAACAGCGTCATTCGTACTTGTGGAGAGGCCGAAGCATGGATACAATATTGACTAAGCCAATCTAGATGCTGATTACAAGAATGACAGAAGTGAGACCTCTGAGACGGACTGGGCAAGTTAATGCTGATCTGGTATTCATTTCATTAATCCCAAGGGACACATTGCCCTTGTCCTCCTCTTCCGTCGATACGCAACCCCGACCGGGTGGTTGCGTATGCGCCTCCACGACCACCGGCCCAGGCATCACCATCCTACAGCTCGATATGCATACTCCGAGTATCACCAATGACCGGGCCACCAGCCCACAGCCAATGAGTAAATGGCAGGGCTTCTCCCCACTCCTGCTTTGCAAGGCGGTTACCGAAGATCGGCGGCAAAGGTGATATGTGAGCACCGTCCATGTCATATCCCTGTGCCCTGGCGGTTCAGAGGTGGTCTCAGAAGAGGCAGCCCTCCTACAAGCAGAGTTAAAAAGTCAGGGCTTTGTTGGGAATGGCTAAGGTGATACGCGTCAAACACGGCAGTATTCACACGTTGTTTCCTCGTCACTTGTCGATCAACGCAGCGGTCAACTCCGAAAGCTTCCGGTATGTCAGAGCCGTGGGCTCGGACTCACCGACCTTCATAAACTCTGACCCTAAACGGCTGGGGGCTGGCATGTGGTTCGACGCTGTCTAAGTATTCGTAGATCAGCCAGAGGTAAGCGGGAAGTTTTGCGGAAGTGCCTTCTGTCATATTTGTCGTCGGAGGAAAGCTGGTCTCTGGAGTCTTGCGCTTCGAGATCCAAGAGATATTCTTATATAACTCAAATCCAGGTTCCAGCACATCAGGAACAATTTTCATGACCAGACGATTGGAAGACTTCTCACCTTCTAGACTACTGTCCACAGAAGAACCGCTTAGCAAGTTGGCCGTAGCGAACGGCCGGGCTCCGCTAGAACTGGAAATCCCTTTGGTGGCTGGTCCTCAATGGGTACTGGGTGAGTTTCCCCTGACCAAGCGGTCAGATATCTTCAGTCTCGATGTTCGGGAAGAAGAAAAAGGAAATGCGGCTCGATCGGTTGCAGGCAGCTCGACACGTATCGAATTTTGAATCTACAGCTATGTGGCCAGTCGTCTTATCCACCCAACCGACGTGGACATGACTATTCTCGCTGCATTCTATTCATAGGAGATTGGTTTCATGCCGCAATCTTTGCCTGGCAATACAGAATCGCCGTTTTATCCACCACCTTCTTCGGAACTTCGCATCTTCTGCCAGCCACCTTTTCATTGTTAAATTCTGTCTTCTACTTTCTCAGAATTGACAGCTAGCCACGAAGCTTCCCTTAGAAGAGTCCCACCAGCCGGCCCCAAAGGCACCAAGCTTTCCGCCCGAGCAATTCCGGTCTTTTTCCATGTTGACGATGTCCAGGCAAACCAAGCAATGCGGGTCTTGACGATAAGCGAATACCCATCCATCCATCCATCCATCCATCCATCCATCCATCCATCCATCGCCAGAATGCCCACCAAGGCCAGCCATCGTGACACCCCTATGCAGTGGTCTACTAGTAATCGCTCACCCCGGAGCGCAATCATTTTGACCTACTGATCTCTCACCCCATCTCGCATCAATACTTGTGCGACAATGCACAACGCAACACAAGATACTCCAACCACAGATACGACGGTCAGACCTGTTACTCGGTCTGCTCCTCCTTCAAGCACAGCCAGAAACAGGGGGCGGGAAACTGGGGGAATGAGCGATTGGTGAGAGGGGAGTGTGCCCAGACGATTCATACTTTGCGGGCAGACACCTGGGGCTGTTCTTGTTGAGAGGACGATTGCATGATTGCAGAGCCTCAAAAGTAAAAGGGATGGCATGGACAGGGGAGATGGGGAGCATGAGCCTGGTGTCCCAGATCCGGAGAGGAGACTGTCTGCGCCTTCTCCCTTTGATTGTTCGTGTACTGGTGGTAGTTCTTGATGTGTTTGTGAGAGAGAGCGGCTCAGCATATAGGTCGATCGATCGCATTAGTTGGTTCCGCCTGCTACCCCTTCTTTGCTCCGTGATATTCTTTCTGGAATGTGCAATTGCTCCGCAACTTGTTCTCTGGTATTGTTATCCCCATCGTGGAGGATAGCGAGGAGGGATGGAGAGAAGGGATGAAAGATCCGATCTAACAGTCCTTGCCGCGTAGACTGCGGTTCCCTCCTCCCAAGCATGTAACACGGAGAAACGCCATGCTAAGCACCAAACCAACCATATATACAGCTACTACTCCTACTACTCTGCACCTCAGATCCACTCACTCACTCCCTCCTCTTCCCCGCATTCCCATTCCCAACACTGGCCCACAAACCCCTACCCCAGCCCTCAAACCCACCTCCCCCTCCCCC